AAGCTGTGTCTTCAATTTCTCCATATCTTTCTTTTGTTTCTTTTCCTCACGCTCTTTTTTTCTGATTTCCTTTTCCTTCTGATCCTTTTCTCTTTTTTCCTCCTTCTGTCTATATTAGCTATATACTCATAATTTTCATAAGACTTTTTCTCAATGCTACAGATATATCAAAAGAAAGACGTTATTTTGACTCATTGTGTCCTTTTAACAGGTCCCCGAGTGTCAACGATTGATATTATAATCACTTTACTCACGTGACATTCTACGGTTCGATATGCCAACGCTTTCATTGAACAGCTGTTGAACATTTCATTGTGTTTCTATTCGGACAGTATCTATCGTACTTCCAACTTCACACTATGGAAGCTTTTTGTGCAACTTTTAATCAGGTTCGAAGATTACATGTCTCTTATTTTACTGTGTATTTTTCGTTAAGAGTGTTTTGAAAGAATTCTGGTATTGGTACTGAGATTAGTAAATATAGGCTCATGTAGACTCAGTATAATGGTCTACAGGGCGATACACCTACCCCATCCCTAAACACTACAATCATTTATTATTTCTGCACCATGTAACTACACAATCTCTCTCTTCAAAATTTAAATTCGTAGTGTAGCATCTGACTGCAAAAAAAATCATACGTGCTATTGTTCACATTCAACATCCATGCGATTTAAATGTCTCCGCCTATTTTCGGGTAGCCTACCTTAAATTCGATAGTGGTCCCGTTCAAATATCCGGAATTTAAGGCTTATACGTGTTCTTTTCAATGACATTATCGGTAATTATAGAAATATGTATGACAAAAATTTCAAAGCATAAATATCAAAAACATATGCTTGTACTATAATCAAAGATAGATTAAAATGTAAAGATTAAAATAGGTAGCCGAAAAGGTTCCAATTGACGTACTAAAGTACACTCATTCTTTTACAGATAAAAATGTAAATTTTACAGATTAAAGTGTAACATTTACAGATAAAAGTGTAAAATTTACAGATTAAAGTGTAGAAATTAAAAAAAAAATTAAGTGTCCAAGTGGCACTAATACGCTTCCGTAGTAAAAAACTTTTCTGATTGGGCAAAAAAATATTACGTTTACATGAAGTTTAGCAACTCTGTTATCATTCTTGACTTCCATTTTTTGTAAATCGTCCAGACGTAAATATGTGTGTGCCTAATATTATAATTATGTAAGAAAAAGTGCTTTTTTTTTTTACATATTAATAAGGTACATACATATTTATAAACCAAGAACCAAGCACCTGTGACGGAGAACAGGAGGAAATTTAAAAAGCAATGGAGACCTTGTTGTTAAAGATAGTTTGTCATTTATTTATATTCCGTATTTATGTCGGGTTGTCTTTTGTAAAAGGTATGTATCGCACATGATTATTTCTGGGAGAAATTTTTTTTCTAAGACGGATCCGTTGACAATCTTTTGGTTTTTGTATTTACTTCCTTCTAGAATTATCTAAATAACAACTTTATAGATTCAGACAAATAGGAATTAACCTGACTGCCGGCGTTATCTTCAGTGGTATCGGTATGGAATGGCGACCCCTTCATGATCGTGCTGGTTATACCTTTGTTTACATTTTATTGCAGCATTGCGTATTTCGGTAATTGGGTTTGTTTGTAAACTGCACTGACCTGTGCAACTGTTGTATTAAAGTAGTTTCTAATTTATCGGCTTTATATAGGGGCCCTTAGATGTAGCAAGAAACCAATCAAAAAAGGCGATCAAACTTCTTTTACGAATCGTGTTCAGCCAAAGCAAGAGCACCGAAAAGCGGAGCATCCCCTCGCAAACAGCATCTATGAATCAAAACAGCATTCGACAACGATCCCAATACAAATTACTTCACTCCCGTTTCGTATACAGAGCTAAATTTCACGCAACATAACTTACAAAATTATTCATTTATCAAAGCTACCGGGTATTGTCTCTTTTGTTTTAATATAAATCGATATTTAACAATATTTGAGAGAGAACACTGACGCCCAATGTGTAGAAGCTCATGGGGAAAGTTAGAGCTTCTAAAATGCAAGTCAAGAGATCAAAGAGAATGGTCTCAAACAAAAGTACTTGTCACAAGGAAAACTCCTGTTACATTAAAGAAAACCCATAGCAGCAACTTCTCAAATGTTATTACTAAGGCTAAAGTTTTTTTTTCCAGAAGTGGGTTTAACTTAAAACCTAAGTCAAAGGATCAAAATTGTTGTTACCGGAAGATGGATCTTGTCACAAGGAATGCTAGTATACCACACAAAAGGAGGTTAAAAAAAGCTCAAGAAATAACCATTTAAAGTTATGGCCAAGGTAAATGTTTTTCAAAAGTCTGCTGGAACTCAAAGGCCAAAGGGGCAAAATTGTTGATAGCCAAGGCATGTTCCATAATAACAATAATACCGTGTAGATATTTGAAAGTTGTAAGCTCTTGCAATTACTGTTCAGAAGTTCAGACAAGATCAAAGTTTGGTAAAATTTACTTGCCTGAAATAGAGGGAGACTCTACCGCATTACCAGAAAAGCTAGCTCACTAGCGAGGCAGTATAAGTTCCCTATATACTGTCCGCTACACTTTCCTCCGCTCAGGAAAGCTTCGATCCGAAGCTTAGCTTAGCATGAGTTCTCTCTGAGTGTCTGGACCTCTTCAGATACGGCAACCAATGCCGTTCCCGGACACGAAGTTTGTAAATAGACATAAAGTCCTAGCCTTAGATATTCCTGAATCTGGTCGGAACCTGACTTCAGTTACGGTAATGCCTGTCGTCGACAGACACGAAGTCTGTAAATGGACACAAAGTCCTAGCCTTAGAGCCTCCTGAAGCAGATTGGAACCTGACTTCAGATACGGCAATGCCTGCCATCCACAGACACGAAGCTAGTATATGGTCATTATGTCCTAGCACTAAGACTTCCTGAAGCAGGGCACAGACACCAGAGTCACTACGCTGCCACCAATTTTGTAACGTGAAGCGGTCACCCATCCAAGGGAGTAAATTGTGTTTTATAATTAAACTTATCATTACATGAAGTCAAAAATCCATTCCTCTTTGAGAGTGTACATTTCTATTACGGTATATCAAAGCATTATTACGTGATATGGATTTATCTTTATTTACGGCGAGAGCATCGTTATGTGAGGTGAACACATCTTACCTCTGTGTTAGTGCTTTATTACGTGGTGTAAAAAGTGTATAACATAATGTGAATTTGTATTATATCAACACTTTATTACATTATGTCAAAACTCCATTCCGTATGTGGATATATAATTACGTTATGTCAACTCTTTCTTATGTGATCTAAAAATATCTTTATATTGTGTTTACTCTTTATCATGTTGATTCCAAAAGTGCATTAACTGATGTAAAAATACATTTACATTATGATTTATCTCAAAGCTGTATATCTATTATATAATGAATGTTGACGACCGTGTTTTAATGAAGCTAAGAGGGGGGGGGGGGGGGGGTCCTGATTGATTAGGAAGAATTACAGGCACAAAATATTAGCCCCCTCTTTTCCCAGACATAACTTTACTATAGAAAATGTAATGTTCATTGAAAGTACAGCCCCGCCCCCACTTTTTGTTGAAGTATAGTCCACTGAGGGTAATGTAGTATATCTGAAAAAACAAATTAGGACTGATCGAAGTTGGACCCCCCTTCCCCGAAATAGGACTTTCGTGTTGGACAATTTTTGTTTTTGGCTTGTCAAGTTTTTTCGGGCAAATGTGTTTTTTTTTCTGGCTGACCTTCCCCTTTCAAAGAAGATGCTACGTCACTGGAATTAGTATTTTTCCAACCATTCCAGGGCCAGAATTCAATTACAAAAACCTACCAGTCCCTCATTTAAATCAATTGCGTATGCCTTTAAGTAGTAAGCATGCATGGGCACATATCAGTGGCTGATATGGGAATCTTAAACAAGGAAGGGGGACGGTATATGGTTAGAGACCAAGGGGGAAAGCGGAGAAGCTCTCAGGCTATATAGTTTTATAGAAAAAAAGTTTTCAACTTAATTCAGCTAAACTTAATGCGAAACTAATGCAATGTCCTACAAAGTAAAACCAAAACATTTATTAATTTTATGTATATTTTGATCACTAAAGACGGTACGGCGGGATTTCTGCCCCCCCCCCCCCAGTTCACGTGTGTTATACGATGTGTTTACACTTTAAAAAAAAAAAGGAAAGTTGAAGACTGAAAAAAAAACATGACAATGTTCTTAGTAAGATCAGAAGTTTAAGACTTTTGTCCCCCCCCCCAAAAAAAAACCCCAATTCAAAATAAAAAGGAAAAGAATTTGCTGCACGACTCATAATATTTCATTTATTTAATTATCAGATTAAAGTAAATGCCATTGAATTTCGACGTGACTTTAATTTACAGTCGCAGTGTTAAGACTTTGCACGTTTCAAGATTGTCAATCATTTGTCTCTTAAAGTTTTTATTTAAAGATGCCATTCCCAAATCGCTGAGAATTTCTTCTACGACAGTTTTCTCTCCCGCCAATTTTAGTGCTTGCGGAACGCGAAATACGTTATGCTCATATAAAGGCCGAGGATACCCGTGTTCGCATAACGTTATTGTGAATCGACATAATGTAGAAGAGTGCGCACAGTAGGACATGAGCTTTTCACATCAGTTAATAAAAACTAAGATGGTTTTTTAGCACGAGAAGATAGGATTGGCATGACATATCATATGAGATATATATTCATATCACGTTATAAAATATTGACATAGCGTATTTACTATTTTCGCATCACATTAATGTATTCGCTATATTCACGGTGTTAATGGATCCGTGAGTTCAAGAAACAGTGAATAAGTTTTCAATAGGTATAGATAAGGGAAACACTTTTATCATATACAAATTCCGCGAATTCAAAAAACCGTGATTGAGTCAAAGAAGAGAAAAACGTGAAAATTATAACCCGTGAAATTAATCCCCTATACAGTATCTTAAGTTTTCTATTTTATAGAAAACCTTTCTATCATTTTTGGATCCTTATTTGGAGTTTTTTTCTGCATATGTGCAGGATTAATGATATATATTTTTCACTACAAGTTTTCAACCAAATCTAGTAAGTATTGTTTTATTATATCAGAAAATGATGCGATTCTTTGAATCATTATTTACTTTTTAATTGAATTATTAAGGTCTTCCGTTTCCAACGGAAGACCTTCTACTGATTCTGATGGTAAAGATTATTATTCTTTTTAAGGTCTTCCGTTTCCAACGGAAGACCTTCTACTGATTCTGAAGATTAAGATTATTCTGAATTATTCTTTTTTTTGTTTTCTTCCTAGACGCCAACTTTGAGGCCTCATATCTCACTCAATTCTCAATGGATTTTCCTCAAATTTTAAGACATTATAGACGGTAATAAACTCTATCAGAATGCTGTCGATAATTTCAAAAAGTCACTTCCGGTTTTGAGTTATTTCCCTTTAAACGAAAAATTATAGGCTTTCATTTCCAGACAAAGGCTCAGAGACCACTAGAGCTGGAGCAGAAATTTTACTGGTTTTAGATAACAGAAGGATTGAAGTTGTGCACATCGGTTTTTGTTTTTCGATTTCTCTATTCAAAATGGAGTTATACAGGGGTCAAAAAATAGAACGCCTAAAAGAGCGAAAATTTACACATGATTTCCTTTTTATCTTGAAAACTAAAAATATTTTGTTAAGACATGTTGAACAAAAGTTGTGAATAAATGCGAGGACTTTCATATCATACTATTCAAAAGGGGCTGGCCCCTATGATTAGTTATTTAGGGAGCTTGAAATTTTTTGCTTTAAAACTCAAAAACGGTAAATATTTCGATCTGGATTATACGAACAAAATTGTTCTTTGACACCTTTTTAATCTGATGAAAATGTTTTGTGTTCGATTATACCGGGGGTATTGCGTAATACGTAGTTGAAAGCAGGCCAGGTAAACAGGTAGCGTTTTTCATTCGGAAAAGAAATCAGACCTCTTCATGTGTATAATTTACACAAACTTCCTATCAGTAATAAACCCTATGGTATTTAATTTTAATTTTCTTCTAAATAGGGCTTTATACGTGCTTTACGGTTCACTATTAAATTATTTATAACGATTAGTCTTTCATTTTTATTTATTATTAATTAGTTTTATAGTGAACAAGTCTTCATAAACGGAATATATTAAATCTATCTTTCTACATTGATTATTATAACAATTATAAGTTATTTTAACTCTATGCATCGAATAATTCATGATCATGTATACATTTGGCGATCTCCAAGATCGCCTAGATGTTTGTAACAGTTATGTAATCCAACACCCGAATCCCACGCTGTCGATCGAGGTCACTAGTGTACCAGCCACCTGTCGTAAACAATGCAAGTGTCTGTGATCGTGTTTAAAATCCATTGTGTACAAAGACCTATCAATTTATAGAAAATCATGTTTTTAATTTATCGAATCAATAAAAATACTTCACCGATCTTTCATTTAATCGTAATTAGAAACACTGGTGCATAAATCATTTTGAATTGTGATCGCTTTCTTTGGCCTGTTCACGCAAAAATTATTTCTCTATTCCGTGTTAATGTATTTTATTTAAATTGTAATTTAAATACTTCGGCAAATAATTATAATTAGTGATGGAAGTCTTGTGATATGTAATGTACTATTATGTACCTTTTATTTTTTCCATCACTCTTTTTGTTTCTCCATTATTTTTTTTATACGAGGGTCATTCAAAAAGTTCGTAGACTTTTGTCATAACTTTTTTATTTAACGTCATATCATAACCAAATTTAGTACACGTATTTTAACAACAAATTCAAATAATTTGAGCAAAAAAATTGGAAAATATCTTGATAATTATGGAAATTATTAAATATTTAATACAGCAAAAATTGGGTCACGGAGCAGGGTCAAAATTGAACTATTAACTAATTTTACGCTTTATAATGTCTAGTATCATACCTCAAATAAATGGCGCTTAAACAAAATAAAATTGAATTGTTTAAATTTTGTATCATTCTATGTCTTTAGGTGCTAAAATTAAATGTGATGTATCGCTTTGTTTAAAAGATATCAATTTCTGAAGGCAGACAGACTTCATGAAAATAAGCAAAAAACGATGACGTCGAAGGACGTCACGGAGCAGCGAGTAGCGATAAAATTTTGTTTTGCATTTGGAAACCTTTAAAACTAACTATGAGAATGCTTGATAAACCAGTAAATAGATACAAAATGTGCTATGCATTTGTTTACAATGGAAATGACTATTTTTGAGTGTTAGAGACTTTAAATCGGACCTTGAACGGTCTGCAAAGAAACAAATAATAGTAATAAAGATTGTCAATGAGTTAGTAACGTCATGAAACGTGATATGCGATTCACTTTTGCGGAACTTGTGCAAACATGAGTTACGCGATAAAGAATTGAAAACATTGAGAATCTACCTTTAAAGTATATTCAAACAATTCCTAGCGAACTAGGTGTCAAGGGCTATAGATACGATTTGATGAATTGAGAAGAAGGTACAAACCGTGTATGAAATGAAAAAAAGCTTAGTAATTTTGAGAAACTTTCTCGACGTTGATTTTGACGTCAGGGTATTGTTAACCGTGCTCCGTGGTGACAAAACACGCTGCTTTTAAAATTGTATAACCCGATTTCCATTTAAACAAATCGAATAAAACTTTACACACTGACAAAATAAATATTTTTACATATGAAAATGTGTTGATCTTAAATTTTGTAAGAATAATATGATGATAGAGGACATTGTCTACGTATTTTTTGAATAACCCTCGTATTAATAAACATTGAACGTTAAAAATATAAATTAAAATATACTATTATTCACGTATTTGTAATAAACAGTTTACATCCAGCTTTGTCGCTTTGTGTCTAAAATTTTGTAGCCCAGTCCTCATTTACAAGCACGTGTCCGCAGATAGCAGCGGGTATGTCGATTTGAATATCAGTTGTGTACTCCGATAGTTACAAATGGAAAATTGTTCGCCCTATATATGGTTCGCCCAATATATACTTTTATTATATACCTGTATATATATGAATTAAAAATTAACATACGAGTATATCATTTCTTTTCTATTTATTTCCCTTACGAACTTGGAAATTTTTTTCTCAAATTCTGATACGAAGAGCAATGTTTATTTAGTCTAAATTAATTTTTGATTTGATTCTAATGATTTTTTGAATGAATAAGTGTTTGAACTATAGTTAATTAAATGATTAATATCAATGTTAATTAAGGGGGATACATTCGTGTTATTTTTACGAATTGCGCTATGTTTTGAAAACAATTAAAGGACAGGTGTGACCGCTGATACTAAAACGGGTGTGACCATATGCATAACGCCTGACGGATACAGTAACGGACTGTTTTATTTTGAATGTACAAAAAATTAAGAAAGAAATTCATCAGATTTTATTCTTCATTAAATTTCGGCAAACGGACCCTGTGCGAACAAGTTTTAGGGCGAGCGGACTCTGGGCGAATTAAAAATCGGGCGAACACGGAATCGGGCGAAAATTTTTTAGGGCGAACGAACATGGAACCGTTTGAAATCATCATGATCATGTCGACTCCTTTCTTATCATTCAATTTCACTCTATTTCAGCTTGTTTTAATCAATCGTAATCGCTTGTGCATTTATTCATTTCAAGTTTTATGCATTTTGATAGCCGAAAAAAAAAAACACAAGCTAGGTTTACACCATTTCCCCCTGTATTTATCGAAGTGGTAATTGTTTTATGAATCTTAAACTACATGTACGCATGCATGATAATTGTAAGTGGATTTAACGTTTCTAATTCACAGGGGGAAAATCCAACATGAAATTAAGCACTTTTGAGTTTGCAGTTATTTGCTACTAAACTTAAAATGATATTGTACAGAATGGTATACTATTTCGTCCAATAAACAGAATATTTTATATGCCTGTACATGTACAATGTCAGTACGAATTTAATTGATGCAAAGCATCAAATTGGCTGCAAAGCAAAAACATTCTTTCACATGCAGAAAAGCACGTCAAGATATTCAAAGCTGAAATAGTTTTTCAATTCTATTTCAGGCTGTTTTCAAAGGAAAATAAAAAATAATTTTACTGCATTTGCTCATAAATAGATTTATCGATGTTAAAAAAAAATCATGTTCATTGATGTATAAGAAGAATTTATTGTCATCAAAATGAAGGTGTAGGCCTGTCCGAGCGTCGATACCCTGGATCTTGATTACGTGATAATGCTCATGGTTTCTGCAGAGCAGGCTATGCTGCAAACCGCAGTGCAAAATAAAAAAAAAATATCTTCATGATCTTTGTGTCATTTGTTAGATGTAGAGCAAATTCAAAACAATTTTTAGTAGAAGTTGAAAAACTCCTCATTTTTTTTTATTCGCCATGCACTTTAACCACATCATCATTATCCGGAAAATCAAGAGATTTCTTTTCAAATCTTACACACTCTCAGGCTGGGGAGTATCTGATGTAAACTCTTTTTATATGACCATAAATTATCGATGATCATGAGATATTAATGACAGTGAAATTGAAATATATTTCAACATTTAATATTAAGTTTAAGCAAGTTTTTAAAATATTTTACGCATGATTTTTACTTGTAATTATTTACGAATTATTTTATTGAAGTAATAAAAAAAACGTCTCATTTCCCCATGTGCACTCTCTAACACAATCACATAAAGATTGGCCGCTACCGCAGCCGATAATAATTACATGTTTTATATGTATGCACTTTTACATAGAAGAGCGGCTAAACATATACATCCAGAGCTTTCAGAATACGATTTTACAAAATTAGAAAATTCGTTATTGCCTATTTATCATAAAATATAAATTAAATTCTTTCCTTAATTATTGAATTCCTATGTATTTAACTAGGTACTTAAATTATCGATTCGCTCTGATATTTGGTTGTATAATGATTACAATGTATATAAACGTCCATCTGGTCAGTCATTGTTGCTTGACGACGTCTTGTTTTCTCCTCTCACATTGGTACATGTAGCGCGTATGAATAGCGGTATGAACACAAGCTTGTAAACAAAAT